ACTCTTCTGATTCTCCCGGTTGTGGACTCTTGATTCTTCTAGTGACTCTTTCTGGACTCTTGATTCTCCTGGTGTTTTTTTCTGGACTCTTTCGATTTTTTCAGTAACTTTTTTGATTCTCCTACTGATTCTTTTTGGACTTTTTCAATTCTCCTGGTGATTCTTTTTGTACTCTTTTGATTCCCCTAGTGATTTTTTTTTGATATCTTGATTTATCTAATAGTTTGTAAATTTTTTTTGATTTTGATTCTTTTTGTAGTTTTTTTCTAGACTCTTTGATTCTTTTAGTTTTTTTTGTATTTTTTTATTATTAATTTATTTTATGTATAAAAAAAATAAAATTTTTAAGAAATTTATTTGATTGGTTTTGTTGGTTCTAAATTAATTTTTGATATTATTATTGTAAAATTATAATTAAAATTATTATTATTATATAATTTAAAGGATTTAAAAGATTTAAAAATTATTAATATAAATTAATCAATTCATTTTGGCAGATTGGCAGAATTGGACCTTTATTTAGATACTCAATTTGAATCCTAGATTTATTTATTGCGCTTTGCAAAATTCTGACTCCCCTTAATTACTAATATTTATAACATGATCATGATTGCGATTGTGATTGCGAATTTTGCAAAGCGCAATAAGTAAATTTAGGATTTAGATTTAGAGTATCTAAATAAAGGTCCAATTCTGCCAATCCGCCAAAATGTTGTAGCCATAGGTTACTGTAACCGTTACTAAGATCAAATGTAATGTGACTATCAAAACAATTTTTTTTATAAAAATAAAGCTTCATAGTTAAGGGTAGGGTGTTCGTAGATCATTTTTAATAATAATCATGTGGTATTCATATGAAATCATGTGATTGACCAATCAGAATCGTAAAAACAACAAATTTGATCAATCAGAATAGGTAATTTTTGTGCAATTTAAGTAAATTTGGGTTTCCTAAGTATTTTTATCAATATATGAAGTAGATTTTTTTTAAAAGATACAGTGTTTATAATTTTACTGTTGTAAATTAGAAACCCCAAATTATATATTAGAAAAATTTGGTAAAGATTAGTCATGATTCTAAAAAGTTTTATCAGTGACGAATTTTTGCTGT